CGCGGATTATCCAAAAACCGGAACCAACTTGAAATCGAAACATAACCAAAAAATTATCAGATATTAGTCGGTTCCTAACTTTGTTACCGAACTGAACCAAAAACCAAAATAACTGAACCGGAACAGACCTAAATTTCATTAAAAAATGAACGGTTCATATATCAATAGAACCAAAAAAAACAAAAGAATCGAACCAGAACCCAAAAACCGAAAGTCCATGTATTAGTATGATTACTAGATGATACCCGCGCGTATTCGCGGTGTGTTTTTGATATTATTATATGTTTGATTTTAACATTTTGAAACACTATAATCTTTATCGATTGTACAATGACAAATACAAATGTTAGTCTTTTAAATATATTACATGCATGGGCGTTCGGGGGTCTGTCGGTTTTGGTTTGATTGATTCAAATTTTCAAATTTTTGGTATTATGCTTTTCATTCCTATTTTGGTTTTACTAATTAACGGATCAGTTTTGGTTCGGTTCATTTCAGATTCGGTTTGGATCGGATTATAACCAAAATCTGAAATCGTCCCACAAAATATCTTTGAAACCTCAAAATTGACAAAAAATGTCAAAAATCTAAATTATTCGTAAATGTAATTTAAAATTAGTTAAAATATCTAAACTAACTAAATAATATTCAAAATAAAATATAAAACAAACTACAAAAATCTTTGAATACAATAAAATATCTAAATTAGCTTGATATATAAGAAACATTAACATATAATACTAATTTCATATATCTTTGGATAGTTTGGATTTTGATTTGGTTCGGATTATAACCAAACCCCAAAGTACTAAGGTTACAAGTTTTGTTCGGATAAATACAATAGGTAGATTGGGTATTATGGAGAAACATATATAAGACGAATGATCAAATCTCTCATTCTATGAACAAACTCAAATGAAGGTGATTGGAATCTTCTCATTTCATTAAAAAAAATTAGGAATAAATAACAAGACTAAATTAATTTTATTAGGAACAAAAAAAAAGTTAAACCACTGATGAAATTTTTTTGACGTGGGAATTTTACCATTTTTAGTCATTTAAAGTGGTTTCAAAAATATCTAAATATGACATATAAAAAATCTAATTTGTATATGCTCAATATGATTAATATGATTGTTTAATTATTTTTAATAATATTAAAAAAAGAGAGAAGATACAAAATTGTTATCATATATGTATTATTCAACAATTATTAATTATCATATATATGTTAATCATATTAGGTAATTTTGTAATTTTTATTTAAGGAAACAAAGAATATTCCTTTGTACACTAATAATTAATTTGATAGTAAGCTCAATAAAAAGTATAGTACATAATTATATGTACCAACTTATTTTTCTAATGATTCTGAAAATTGTCGTAGTGATGACACGTGACTACGAAAATATGTTGTAATGCACCAAGATTAATATATAAGAGATAACTCACTCACCTATAAAAACAAATTAGTGTCAATAGAAACTCAGATGAACAGTTTTATGCGCTGGAATGCTACTCAATTATGCAGAAAATAAACAAGAATATTAGTAATTAACTGATAAAATCAACACATAAGAACACATATCTCTGCTGTTAATAATGCATGCTTCCACTTACTCAGAGCATGACTGGTTATAACGCAGCGATTTCGGGCGTTTGCGGATGCAGAAGATTACAGTTTTAAGCGTTAATAAAAGATTTAGATGATTGTTTCAACAAGTTAAAAATTGTTGCGTTTGCGGGATACTTATGCTGGTTTACTACCAAATACATCAACGGTTATATAATAAATTAATAATATTTATATTTTATATAATTATCAAAATATTAAAATCATTTTTTTATAATAAAGATAAAAAATTTATTGACAAAACTGTACTATTAAAATTTTTTAAACTTACAGGAAATATTTTTTTGGCAATTTTATAATATAAATTAAAATATGATATATATATATTGGTATTTCAATTATTTAATTTAAAATTTTAATTAAATATTTTATTTTTATATTTATATAATTTTTTGGAAAAAAATATTTTTGTTCTCTCGCAATTGCCCGCAACCGCAAATGCTAGCTTGAACCAACTTTTGAATTTTAGAGATTCAGCGCGATTTGATGCAGTTTATAACATTTTATGTGATTGTTGCAAAACGCCAACAACCGCTATCAACCGCAAAAACTGCGTTTGCGGGTGATGGCGGGAAAGTCAGTCAAGCCCTCAGTCTCAGATGGGAAGAAGATTTGTTGCTCAAAACCAAAATTTAACACATTTGTCGGGTCTGTATATTCCCTCTTTAACCAATGGAGAACCCCTGACCATGGAGATTCCTCCATTTCCTTAAGTTCTTTTATTCAAAAGATTCCCAAAGAAACAACATGTAAAAAGCAAAGATCTGTACTGGTGATAAAATGGCATCTCCTTCTTTTGTGTAAAGTTTGTCCGGATCCCAATTTGTAAAGGGACAATTCTTTTGGTGACAAAAATATCTCACCACTAGGCTGGAAATATATTCCTCAAGTTTGTGTAATGATACTTGAACACACATCTTAAACTGAGCTACAGAAACTTCCATTATAGAGGAACCAAGTGATTACTTCATGTTCGGGTTCTCCAAGTTGCAAAAGGAGCATACTTCCACTAGGAGAGGAATAAGAATACTTACTTCTTGTAACCAACTTTTAATAAGAACTTTATAACCAAAAATAATGCTTTTTCTTTACCTTCCTTTTCATACAGATTCCTTGTAAGCTACTCCGGGTAAATTCTCAGCAATGATCACTGGGGCTATGCGTCTCGACATCAAATGATGTGAAAATCAAGTAACCGGAATAAAATCTTTACTGATGATAACTATTGGCTGGGACTAGCATCTTGATCTTCATCTTGCTCAAAACAACCAGTTGGCCTTATGACCTCAAGATAAATCATTACAGCTAAATTTTTTTACCAAAACACGAAACCAAATATGGGGAAAGCGTTTAACCATTTTAATACCTAGGCGAGAGAGTTGGACTGAAGAATAGTGACGATAAGAATATCAGTAGTGCAATGCCAACTTGCAGAATATCTTGGCAACTTGCAAACTATTATCTCTGGAATATATTGTGTAAACTAAGGCCTCATTATTATTAAGATTCTTTCTCCGGTTTAACGTTTTACTTCTCATAAGAAGTTTCGCCCCTACCTTAAAACGAAACCAAGCCATCTTAGAAACCAAACATCCTTATCATACCTAGAAGCATAATATAAACGTGGGATAGTTTGGATCACAAAAATTAAAAATATCGTATAAGGGCTTATATTGGCATATATCCAGAAAGAGAGCAACGTATAAAATACCATAAGTACTGTCACGTAATGGAATATCAAAGCCATTGCCACTTATTGTGATTATGGACTACAAAATCAGTGGATAGATAGACACGGTAAACAAGAAAGATCAAAGATGTATGTGTTTCTTAGTAGCTTTACTTTACAAAATGTGTTAACAATAACTTGAGATACTTGGTATGGACGTCCATCTCCCATAGAGAGAGGAATAGAGGAATAGATCATTTATGAACAACATGTGTTGAAAAGAATGAAGATCTTCTAATCTTTACAGAATAAAATAACTAAGCTCACTTTTTAGTTACAATCAAACAAGTAGACCATTTGACATTTGTGGATGTTGTTTTTTTTGCCAAGTATGTATACTCCTATTAAGCATTATTTGATATGAACACTGAAAACAAGCAATGAAACAGTCTGGTCTATGATAGCATCCTAATTTAGTTTCAGGACATAGTTTTGTTTGCCCATCCCAGGTCTGGCTTCTTACCAAACAAGGTAAGTAATTGTTCATTCGAAAGATAATACGACAACATAACATTATTATATGTGACTTTTTTAATCATGGGCTCTCATAAAGAGTGGATATAAATTACACAACCAACAACAGCAAAAAGTTACAGCTTGAAGAAAATTACAAAATAACAGCTGTAACAACTTTGGTTCCTCCTCATACTCAATAATGCATACACCAAAAAACAGAAACAATTAGAATATCCACCAATAAAAGTGATTATTTAACAGATTAACGATGCAGAATCCACATTAATTCTAAAATATATGACCAAGAAAAAACACAGTTACCTACTTTCATGAAGTCAATGGACCCAACAGGCCAAGAGAAACAAAATGGTAGGTAAACAATGTTGACCTTGTTTTTTCACAGGATCAGCAACAAAACAAACACAAAAATGTTTATTGATTGTACGGATACAGCTAGATAACTTATATGGTGTGCTCACTGACAATTCGGAGGTAAAGCTCTCTGCCCCCACTTTCTTTCAAGAAGAATATATGACTTTATGAAGAACATATGTAGCTCCACTCTTTTTGGTTTCTGGATACAGATCACAAAGGTTATCGGTAAGAAGAAATCTTAATAGTCAATGAAAATTATCTGTTAACGCGGACATCTCTAATCCAAGACTTATAACTTTCTTTGTCTTACGGGAACGGTTAGCTTTGTGCTTTGACTAGTAGAGACACTATTCCCAGGAAGTAGATGACTAAATATAAGAAAATGTATAGAGACTTTTCCATACTATTCATCATCTAAACTGTTTCTTTGACTACAAGCTTAATCCAGAGAATGACATCATAACACACAAATTGGGAAAGAAAAGTAAACATATTAGTTACAACATTTATAGAAAAAATGTCCCTACCGAGCATCATATGCTAAATGTGGATGACAAAAAGCAATTAAAACACAATCTTTGAGGTGATTAGTTTGGATCTCCACAATTTTTGCTCAATATTCTTTTTCTATGGAGACAAAGACTTAAAATTCTCTCTGTTTTGGCAAAGCAGAGATATCTATCTTTGCCAACTGGCACTAGACCCCACTTCACATCCTTCTTTATAAAGAGCAAGGACTCTGCGACATCTGTGCAACACATCATTTCATCATATAAGTTAATACTACAGAAAAAACCTTTTTTCACAATGGCATCAAACTCAATGTCTGCTTATGGATCTGGCTCATGGACTGTTAAACAGAACAAAGCCTTTGAGCGTGCTCTAGCAACCTATGACCAAGACACTCCTGACCGTTGGTACAATGTTGCTAGAGCCGTTGGTGGGACAACACCAGATGAAGCCAAGAGACAGTATGACATTCTCGTGCGTGACATCGAAAGCATTGAGAATGGGCACGTGCCATTCCCCAACTACAACAAGACTACTGGAGGCAGCACCAAAGGCAAGCTGCGTGATGAGGAAAGAAGGTATAATTACAACTAATCAACTTTGTTTATATCCATAATAGACCAGTTATGTTACATTTTAAGACACTTAGATTCCTATGCCATGACAATATATATAGACCAAATCAAACATGAAAAAGGGGCATGCAATGTCTGTTTCAGCATAAAGCTTTGTTTTACTTTACAAAGATTCTGTCTGACTTGTCAAGTTAAGCAATGAAAGTCTCTAAATCTGCCAAGTGTTTCATTCTCAGTGCTCCTCAGGCTTTGTGACAATCAAATTAAAACCCTCACAAACAAATATGCCTAGAATCATCCCTTGTTATTTTGGTATCTAGTATAAAGTGATTTGCACATCTCGCCCTGAGAAAAGTAATAAACGTTATTTTGATATGCTTTGTTATTTTGATATCTAGTATAAAGTGATTTGCCAAGAAAATGAAATAAAACCCCTACTTAAATGTTTTGGATTTAAAACCAGAGGTTTCTAATAAATTAATGAAACTAAAACTAGATTTCGAACCTCAGAACGTCCTACTAAAATTAAGTTTTCTCTTATACGGTAAGCTATTCATTTGCCATGAAAATTAACAAAATCAACACAAGTTAAATAAATCGCTTTTTAATTACTTTTACCAAAAAAATCTCATTTAACATTTTTTTGGCAGGATGAGAAACATGAAGCTACAGTGAAAGGAGAAGCAACAGAACCTAACTATCGTATGATCGATGGTCAAAGAAATAAAAGAGAATCACAAAGATCGATGTGTTTCATTTGTATTTTTATTTGTATTTGCTATTTTCCCCATGCTTAGAATCTACTAGTATTTCGTGGAAACACAAAATGCACTCAAACTAAGCTAACCAATGTTCTTCTTAATGAAAATATCCAATTGTAATATCCCCAAGGACTAAGAAGAAGATTAAGAAGAAACCACATGGAGAAACTACAACAAAATAACCAATAGCAATAACAAATTGTTGAGAATACAAAAAAAAGAAGAGCTACTAATATTATAAGAATTGCAAGGATTGAGAAGAACCCGACATGGAAAAGTTATCCTCGGAATTAATCAAGCAATTTATATCCATGTCATTGCCAAATTAAAATATTACGGAGACTCCAATAATGGAAGGGAACTCTGAATCCGACAAGAAACTCTCGGAATCAAACAAAACAATCTATATCTAGGGTTCTTCGAAATTAGGAAACATTCTAAATTCAAATAAAATAGTTGATAATTTTTACACCAAAAAAATACTGTAGTTGGTAATTGGTGGGTCACGAGAGTCTACAACAGAAACTCACCTCGGAAAATCTGCACTTTCAGTTTCAGTTCAACAACTCTAGTTTTGTATTGTGGCAACATCTATCTTTTAGACTCTTACTCAAAACTTTTAGACAGTATCAACTCTACATGAAGTAAAATTCTTATCCTATAATTTTCTATCATTTGAAAGTTAATTTTAGTTTCTATATCAAATAAAATTATTGTCCCTAAGATACAATTTTAAATCAGTTTATATCTCGGGAAAATGGGCATTTAATTCCCCAAGTATTTGAAATCAGCAGTTTTAATACTCAAGTATTGCTTGCGCAGAATTATTCCCCAACTAATAGTTGACTACGCGAAATTAGGAACGAAATAGTCAACCGTTAACTAGTTAACGAAAAGATAACGGTTTCCGTCAACTTTTAACGGTTGTCTATTTCGTTCCTAATTTCACACATTTAACTATTAGCTGGGAATAATTCTGTGCAAGAAATATTTGAGTATTTAATCTGCCGATTGAAAATACTTGAGGAATTTAAAACATCAATATTTTTTTAAAAAAATATATAATTTAAAATATTTTCAAGTCAGATACAATCAATATACGAGATTTTTACTTTTTGAAAGAGATTTTTGAGCTTTTACAATAACATGTACAATAATAAAAATAGTTATAGCTGCAGTTTATTGTTGATGTACTTAATGTTTATAAAATCACATATGAATGACTTCATAACATTTACGGAATCATATGTTGTAAATTAGATCTCTACTTTAGACTAGGGATGGCAAAAAATATCGAACTGAATGAAACCAAACCAATTGAACCGAAACCGCTCCAAACCAAACTGAACCGAGTTAAATCGAACCGAGAAAACAATGTGCTTTTGTTATTATTTGAAAACTAAAGTCTCTATTAACTTTATACAATATACTTAAATCCTAACACTAACGATTAACTTTATTAACGCTTTTTTATTAAAAAAAATCTATTTACTTTAGTTAACTTTGGTTTGATTGTATTCTTATAAAAAATGATGATTTTTTCAGATGTTTCTTTTTCAGTTTTATATTATAATTAATTTACATAAAACATGATTTTTATTAAAAGAACTAAACTAAAGGAAGACAATTAAACCAAACTTGAACTGATCCAAACCAAACTAATTGTGGTTTACTTCAGATGGAAAATTTCGAGAACCATATTAACCAAACCGAAAAATAACTGAAGTTTCCACCCCTACTTTAAACAGTCATATGTAGTTATCTATACTTTAGACTATCATATATTGTACATCATCAATGCAATGCAATGCAATGCGTTATCTTGTTTTATTTTCTTTAGTAAAACTCCAAAATCCATTTTCAGAAAAAAGTATCTTGTATATTTGTTCCATTGTATATTTGTTCAAATTGAGAATCTTTATAATTTGAAATTATTTTAAAAATTCATCTTAAGTTATTTTCTAAATAAGAAATACATCAATAATAAACTGCAACTATAATTATTTTTATTAATGTACATGTCACTGTAAAAGCTCAAAAATCTTTTTTTAAAAAAAATAAAATAAAAATCTCGTATATTGATTGTATCTGATTTGAATTTTTTTTTAAATTATATATATTTTTAAAAAATGTTGATGTTTTAAATTCCTCAAGTATTGTTAATCGGCAAGTTAAATGTTCAAGTATTGCTTGCGCAGAATTATTCTTCAACTAATAGTTGATTGTATGAAATTAGGAACAAAATTGTCAACCGTTAAAAAGTTGACGGTAACTGTTATCTTTCCGTTAACTAGTTAACGGTTGACTATTTTGTTCCTAATTTTGCACAGTCAACTATTAGTTGGGGAATAATTCTGTGCGAGCAATACTTGAGTATTAAAACTGCCGATTTCAAATACTTGGGGAATTAAATGTGCATTTTCCCTTTATATCTCTTATATTAAAACAGATTTTGCGATCTTTTTTCTTTTAAGAATAGATATGACAACCCTAGAAAATTTTGGGTGTGGTAGTAATAGAAAATACAATATGGGATAAGGCACAAATTACTGAATGTACAAACCCAGAGAGTGATGGCCCAAACTTGTTGAACTAACCATTAGAAGATATAAGATAGTGTTTCATTGATGTAGTCTCGAGAGAGTAAGATATTTTTATAGGCCAAGGTTGGTTTTGTCAAGAAAGAACCTCTGACAATCATGTTATAGGGTATGAACATCCGACGAAGCCTGCCACCATTATATCCATAATGCGAAGCCTTGATATATGTTATGGAGTGTATGAAAATCATGTAAATTTCATAAATAGTGTTTGTACTGATTACTCTCAATTGGTGAAAATGAGATGTCAGCACCAAAGGGTTCGACAACTTTCATTTGTCATTTGAAAGAATTTCAACTATGTAGAGATTCTTTTTGACTTTACAATTCAACACACATCGAAAGATACTATGGCGGACAAGTTTGTATATAGTCTTCAAATTTTAAATTCAGTTTTGGTGTATGTTAATTATATACCACTGGTTCAATCATCTGAACTGTTTAAAAAAAAAAATTAAAGTAATCTCCACTGTCCCTTTAAATCTTCCCAGTTAGGCATTTTTAATAGACAATTGTGAGCTAATCCTAAGTAGGACCACGTCTAAATGGAATCATAACAAATTGGAATGTCCATGAGGTGCATCATTGTGAATATCTAAATCTTTGTAGTAAAAATGTAAATGTTGAAAAACGAGATTGGACAGTTTTAGCAAGAAAATGTTATTTTGCGGTTTTAACAAAAATATTGTATTTTTAACAAGAAATGTGATTTTGTAATTTCGATAAGAAAACATGATTTTACGATTTTTGCGGAAAAAAATATATGAAATTTTGCAGTTTAGTTGAAAATGCAATTTTACATTTTTGGTGAAAAAAATGATTTTATTGTTTTGGCAGAACAGAAAATTTGAGATTTTAATAGAAAATATGATTTTACTTGGTGAAAAAATATCATTTTCGGTTTTGATAGAAAAATCTATTTTTTTTTTTGTTGTTTTATCAAAAAAATAATAATTTTGTAGATTTCTCAAAAATGTAATTTTGTGTTTTTGAAATAACTATGTGATTTTGCGGTGATATAAGAAAATGAGATTTTACGGTTTTGTAATTTTTTTTTATTTTCGTTCAATCCCTTATATATTATTTGCAAAGTGATTTTGCCACATGTCCTCTCTACAATCAGTTTCACAATAAACGGTGACATGTCTACTAGAATTGATGACATGACATATGATTAAATATGACATGGACAATTACAATTAATGTTAATATATATTTTTTGAAAACTTTATAAAATATGGTAACAACTCATATATTAGATTTGATGTCGATTTATATTTTTGGAAATAATTTTAAAATATGGTAATAACTCATAAATCATCATTAAAATAAATATATTCAAATATGGCATTATAAATTTCGAAAATACCATTTAATTATATATTATAAAATTATACAATTTAATTACAAACTTTTCAAAAATTTATACCTTTTTGAAAATTATTAAAATTTAATCATAAAATTATTAATTTCTTATATATTTACAAATTTAAGAAATATTGTCTAATTTTAATTTTTAATAATTATAAAATTTTCTACAAATTTAATTAATATATTTTAATTAATATAAATAGATAAAAATCTATCTAAGATTTTAATTTTAAATATATACATGCAATTTCTTAAATATAATTTAAAATAATCAAAAATATTTTTCTATTATTTTTATGTTTAGTTAAAAAAAATTGGTATTAAATTAGTGATAAGAAAAAGAAAATTTATAATATTAATAAAATTTTAACTTTAAACATAATTTGGAAAACTTTATAAAATATATATTAGATTTTATGTCGATTTATATTTTTGGAAATATTTTTAAAATATGGTAATAACTCATAAATCATCGTTAAAATTAATATATTCACATATGGCATTATAAATTTCTCAAATATCA